TGCAGGCCGAAGCCCTATTTAATTCAATGAATAAATGTATAAATAAATGAATATTCAATGAATAAATGCATTTTTTTTTTTTGCGTGTTTAATAGTCAATTATTTTTAGTTTATAACCTAAATTCGTATATTAAATCTCATAATCACAGTTAATAACTAAATTATTAGTCGTTCATAATAATAAATGTTAACACCATATCAGTAATCAAGAGGTCGTGGTGTATAAAAACATTGTGTAACTAACATTTATGTACTAAAGTACCTATAATTACGAACTAATTAAGTTCCTTTATTTTTTTGTACCTGACCGATGAGTTTAAATTATATTTAATCATACCCTAGAGTTATGTTTATTTATCACTCAAGTACAAGTGCTCCAATATGACCAACTTCATTATATAATTTAATAATTTGTTTAGTTTTTATACAAGTATAAGCATTTCAATGTCATAATTATTAATTATTACTATATTTCTGGGTTTTATTTAAAATTATTATTTTGACTTATTTAATTTGTTAATATATTTTTTTTACTATATTTTCTTCATTTTAGAGAATTGTTTAACCTTTTAAGTGTTTCTATTTTTCTATTTTTCTATTTTTCTATTTTTCTATTTTTTAAGTATTTCTAATAATATTTATTTGAAAATATTTAGAGTAGAAAAATATTGATACGTCCAATTGATAATTGTACAGTTTATTATCACAAAGCAAAAATGTATCGTCATTTATTCGTATTCGTCAACATAATATTTAAATTACCAATTACTAATTAATTATTGATATTATAATTGAGAATATAGAATATAGAATAAGAATTCTGAAATAAATAGTAAGTATTTGATTAAGTTAATTGATTCAATCAAATCAGCTAACCTAAGTTCGCATGTAAAAAAAATCATCACTCCTTGCTAAATCATGCCTCTCTTTTCGAATTTCAAACAAATATATTATATTTATAAGTTAGATAGGTATGTAAATTTCACTATTTTCGCGGTATATTTGTTGGACTTTCTCGGAAACTATTCGGATGTATTTCAAAAGTAAGCTAATATAACCTGTTTATAAAGTATACCATCTGTGTTTGATTTTCAATCAATAAATTACTTTTGATAAAGTTGGGTTGGATTATGCTATTCATGAAACTTTTGAAGCCCATGACTTTTTATCCATATACAACTAGTGCCTATACAAAGCTTAATTTATTTCGCTCTATATAGGTATTATACATTAATTGTGTAAAATTTATTCCCTAAAACGTGATTTCCGTTAACTTGCAATAAATAAAATAATAGTAAAGGCTGCTCAACGTTCAATATTCCTGAAAAAACTTTTTCTGCTGTAAGTGAACCTATAATAAAACATCTTGACAAAACGTCCAACTGACGTGTACTAATACTTTTTTACACGGCTAACTCGAATCAAATTTCCAATTATCTGAAAAACTTTATTGATTGTTTGTAATCAATGTGTCAGTATTTTAAAGTCGAAGTAGAACGAAAGAAACACGTAAGACTATGGAAAATCGTATTTCCTGGTAAGGACCAAAAATCCCAGTTGATTTATTTTCATTCAGAGAACTATTAAAGAAAAAAATATCGATCGCGGCATGGAATCGTAGTCCTAGAGACTAAATACACACGTAAGATAATTTATTTTAAGAAAAATACCGTTTATTTCACAAGAAAACTTTTTGTTTCCGAAAATTATTTTTAATTTAAGGGGATCGGTGGCGGACAGTTATTTTAGCCAAAACATCCTATTTTTATTCCATCATACTGCTCGATGTAGTAATGCGATAATACTTTTTAAAACTGATTTGAATTTGTTATTATGTCTACTTGAGATCGGTCAGTCTATTTTACCCAATTTCACCCTCCAAACAACCAAAAATATTGTTTGAATATTTTGAAATTTCGGCATTTTCAAACGTTGATTATTCGGAATATAAATCAGAAATCTTAAAATGTGATCTGACCGATCTCAAGTAGATATTAAAACGAATTCAGATTAGTTTTCAAAAATGTTATCGCATTATTGGATCGATCGGTAAGATGGACCAAAAATACATATTTTTAGTAAAAAAAAACACGCATTTTTGGATCGTTCATGCGCGCGACAGTGCGGCAATGACATGTACGCGCGCGGAAGAGTTTCCCGCCACTACCGGTCCTTCACCTAATCGCATGCAACGGTCTGCGATAGATAGATTATAAATCGTAATTATACTATTCTAGGTATTACTACGGTACAATTATAAAATTTATAATGAAATATCTTGCGTATATTGATAATTTGATAGGAATGAAATATAATAGGTACCTATAATAATATAACATGAATACATGAAATATTGTTCATTTGAACTTGGCCTCACATCATCACTACACTTTGTATATGTATTTTTTCGCTAGTGTAAAATAGTAAGATTTTTACGTACTTTTTAGTCACTTAGATTTTGTTTTTATAAAACGCGATTTGTTTTATTTATAATAATTTAGTAAAATGGGAAATAAAAAACAAAAACTATCCAAAGTGAAAAAAAATAGAGGAAATGTTTTATCATTTTTAAATTGGCAAACTCATCCCATACAAAAAACAGTAAGTGGATATACTTACTTAAATGTTTGTTTCATTAACAATTTCCTTTTTTATTTTCGTTTAAATTATTTTGAAGAATAACACCGATAGTTTGACTATTCCAATTGAAGATCAAAATAACGAGTATGTAGAACAAATTACTAATGAATTGTTCGTAATATATTTTTTTTTTTTCATTATTTAGAATAAATATCGATGATGTAGAAATGGGTTGTAATATATTATCTTCGTCGACATCAAATACTAATCACAATATACTTGATTCGAAGTATAAATTGCTTGTGATAAATAAAAACTAAAATAAACAAGTACAGTCAGTAAATAATCTTTATACCGAAGATAAAAATTTGTTTTTTTCATAATATTAGGTCTAGGTGTGCCCCCGTGCAATAATGTATGTTAGACAAATTATTTTAATTATTATAATTAGATATTAAAAAAATAGGATAAAAAAATCCAATAAAAAAAATGTTTTGTAGTTAGAAATTTATTTTATAACATAAGATATTCACTAGTAAATTAGGTAAAGATTTCATATTTTTTTTTACATTTGTAAAAATTTTGTTTTTTGTTTTGTTTTTGCAAGGTACAATTGTGAAGGTCGAAGATTTGTGGACAATAAACACTTCTTCAATTCTTTAAAAAATATTAAACACGATCCTTTTAGTTGTATATTTCAAAATTTAAATTTATTAAATGAAAGAAAAAATGGTTTTTTTTCGGAATTTATATTCAAATGTGACTTATCCAATAAAATTGACATTATATCTAACGAGCCTAAGACAACTGACATTTCGTTATCTATTAACACCGCTATGTAATGGCAACCATAAACTCAGGACAAGGGTTTGCTCAATTATATACCATGGCAGCTTTTTTTAATATGCCATGTATGTCAAACATGACTTACCAAAAACTTCACTTAGATATATCAAATCACACTAATGATACATGATACGGCTATAGAAGCAATGATACTAGCGGGAAATAAGGAAGCTGAAATTGCTAAAAAAGAAGGTAATTTCAAATCGTTTTGATATTTCTAAGTTTCGTAGTTATAAATTATAACTTTTAGATAAAATATTATGTTGTGTAGGTACTTTTTTAATCTGTGTATGTTACTGTTCTATAAAAATTATAGGTTCGCATTTTCACAATTCCATACCAGTATACTGTTAATCGTTATCAAATATCACTGATATGGATAAATACTTAATAATTTGTTGAACAATTAACCTAACTAGTAGTAACCTGCAGGACCGCTAAGAGCTATTGACACTACAGAACGATGGAGCATGCGAATAATTCACCTAGGTTTCTTAGATTCAGAAAAATTGATTATCAAATTTAAAAGAACTGAAAATGTCATACGAGTGGTAGTCATGTTATGGAATATTTTCAGTTAATACACAACAAATAAAAAGCTTTTAACCTGAAGGCTGATTTTACACATAATCGAACCCTCTTATATTTTATTCTTTTATGATATTTATTTTACTACTGTAGGGTTGTGCATAATATGTTGGAATTGCATCCATAGGATTGCGCACAAGAGCAGCCAGTATGTGCTCTTGTTGCCCCTGAACAACTAAAATATATTTGTTTGGGCCAAACAGTCCAAGCTCGTCACCGTATAATAAAAAAATCAATAAAAAATAAGTTCCTTATCCGAAAAGTGTATTAAATTTTACTGAACTAATCTTAACTGTGTTTAAATAGGTTGGGTTAGGTTACAAAAAAAACACAGTCACCACAGTATGGGTGTGGCGAGGGTGGGGCAGGGGGACACTTGCCCACCCCTGCGCCTCAAACTGAATTATATTTGGTTATACCAAACGTGTAAATTTTACATTAAAATCAAAAATTAAATAAGATATAATTCTAAAAATAGTTTAGTGGGACCGAGTGATATCTACACGTGTAATCGTTTTGACATTTTATGTGTTATCCAATGGTTTATCTGTAGATTATTTGAATTACGAGTCTAATCATTTTATGTTTTTGCCCCTCCCTGATTCAAATTTTAGCTACGCCCATGCACCACAGGCTTTTACCGTACACTAGTTGTGCATAAGCCGTTTTTATGGAAAAAATTGAATTGAAAAAATTGAAACATTCGCTGCCCATGATTTGAAATTCTCCGCACGCCTATGATTGCGTTGAGTGTTCGTCCGGTATTATATTATTTGCTTGGACATTCGTTTTACTGTTGACCGGTTGAACCGAACAGTGATAGTGTTCGCAGCATGAGCCACGGACATGGAAGGAACGCAAAAACCGTGTCCCGGTGACTGCGAACAACAATACGACCCCTTCGAACGGTCCGACGAATTATCGCGTCCGGTGGTGACACTGTACGTTATCGACACACTGCTGGACGTACGGTCAGATAACAATGGACAATAATGTTTACGATAGTCTCACACCACACGCTCGTTGACTCATCGTCGAAACGATTAGTCGACAGGTCTGTTGCCGTTCAATCGTAGACGAGACACCAGTTACGGTCAGTTACGGTGACCACGTCAACTTCGTGAACGGTTCGTCCAGCAAAACATTTCTGTATCGATCGTTATTATTTTCACCGAACGATATCCTCTTGATCGATTGTATTATCGTAGTATCTTTAACGTATCAGTGAAATTAACTATATTTTTAAAGTAGACTAACGTTAAACGTCTTTGTTGAATTCAGTTTTTTCCCTTTGTCTGTTTTCATTTTCTACAGTTAACAACCATTTGTTCATTTTCATTTCACAATGGAAAAAAACGGAAATGCTGACCTTAAGTGAGTTGATATACCGATTTTGTGTTGCAAAATATGTACATAATGTTTCCACTACCAAAAGATTTATTTTTATTTTTTTATGCCATGCTTCATTGTTTCAGATGTGAAAACGGTAACTATGATACCACTACGTCGAATTGCAGCACTCAAACCACACAGATTGATGGACTGAACAGATCAACTATGGATACTGCTGATGCTTTTGGCTCATTGTTAGTTTCTTTAAAACCATTGATATTTCCTTAGAAACTCAAAAAACAATTTTTATTATCATATTTGGTATCGTATCATTTGTTGATTGATTATAAATTCTTTAAACGGTTTATGTGTATTCCTATTAATTTACTTATCATTTTGATAATAACATATACAACTATTGATTTTGTAGCTAAATATTTTCTCCATTAGATATTTTCTTATTTTTTTTTTCATTACTACCAATTTATAATATAATTTATAAATCATATTAAATTCTTATTTTCATGTTTAAATTTAGGTGTGAGACCTTCAAAAGTTTGTTAGGCCAATGTTATAGGTAAGAAGGGTTTTGAGTAGGCATTAATTATAGCGATAAAACTATAAATTATTTAATTATTTGTTATTATATAACATTCGATTTCGATAACAAAACTTATGATTCATTTTAACTATGTATAAATGACAAAATAGGATAAAGGTTTTACATTACAAAGAGTAAATTTCTGTAGAAGAATAGGAATTAGAATAAAAGTATAAGACATTTAACACTTTTGTAGCTCTTTTTCATTCAATTTTCATATTATTTAATTATCACAGTATTATATTATAATTATTGTTATTATAAATTGTACAGAAAAAATTAAATAATTAATATCAAAAATATTTTTAAGCGCAATTTAATTTATTTTAGTGTTTGATGCCTTATGATTCAAACAAAATGATATTTTAATGATGTTGAATTAAAGTACTGATTTGTAATTCAATTTAAAAATATGATCTTAAACCAAATAATAAAATATGTAACTAAATGATTAAGTCAAAGATGTTAAAATTTAACAGTTATTCTATTTATTTTTTTAACTTGATTCAAACTTTATTGAACCCTTTCTATATTCATAACTAGGGCTAGGATTTATATGCATTTGTATATTTTTTTTACAACTTCTGATTACTTATTTTGTAAGTAATATCCACAAATTAGCTCTAGCTGGGGTAAATGGTGGTTTTTTTATTTGTCATATTTTTGTATATTTTGGACAAAATACATATTTTTGCATATTTTGAACAAAATGAATATTTTTATACATTTCGACTATAAAAACACAAAAAGTGCATGTTTTATAGTATATTTCATTACAATTCATTTTATCGCAGTACAAAAATACCCAAATGTAATTTTATCTTAAAATTTTGAGAATTATTTCCAGAATTACCTTTACCTCCACAGCCAATACTTACCCGATGGGGAACTTGGCTAGAAGCCACATCATATTATGCTGATAATTTTAATTCCATAAAATCGGTGCTTTTGTCTTTAGACGAAAATACTGCAAAATCCATAAAGAATGCTATAGCTTTATTTGAAAATAGAACTATACAAAATGATTTAGCTTATATAAAAAGTAACTTTGGCTTTATCACTCAATCTATTTTGAAATTAAAAAATGCATCACTTTTACTCGATGAGAATTTGGAAATCGTTGAAAACACCAAATCTAAACTTAGCCAAAACAAAGGACCGATCGCTGAAAAAATCGACAAAAAATATAAAAAAGTGTTAGAAAAAAATATCGGGCTAAAAGCTTTGTCTACGATACATAATATTTTAAATGGCAACAATGTAGATGAAAATTTTCCAAATCTATCTCCTGGGGAAGTTACAAAATTTAGATATGCAAAAATAACGTCGTGTGATGTCAAATGGAATTTTAGCAAATATAAAAACATACTAAGGTCAAACAGAAGATCGTTCATTTTTGAAAATTTAAAACATCATGTAATTGTTTCATGTAATTCATTCGAGTAGCTTTATCAATTTTACATCAATATTTTAGAGATTTTAAGGTTTTAGAATTTTTTAAATGTTTTTATAATTAAGTGTTTAACATATTTATTTTTATTAATTGGTATTTAAAAAAAATGTACAGAAAATGTGGTTTTAAATGTAATTCACTCGAGTAGCTTTATCAATTTTACATCAATATTTTAGAGATTTTAAGGTTTTAGAATTTTTTAAATGTTTAATATATTTATTTTTATTAATTGGTATTTACAAAAAATTTATAGAAAACGTGTTTTTTAAATAATATTTATTTGGTTTATTTAAGCATATTTTTATTGCATATTTTTGCATATTTTCAATAAGCCAAATGCATATTTAATCATTTTTTATTGCATATAAATCCTAGCCCTATTCATAATATTTTGACAGCTCAAATAAATTTTAAAAATATTATATATCTATATATAAAAGGGTGTTAATATTCTTTTTATGTATATATATTTTTTTAATTATTTGTCAAAAATGTATTCATAATAATTAATTGGTCATTAATATGATGCTATTATCAATATTCTTAATACTATAATAGCCATCTTAATAACCATATTATAATAACCATATTCTATTAATTTGTTTTCTACAGTTCTTTTGACCAAAATTCATAATGCCCTTTTAATCGTGGTTGATAATTTGAATAATTCTGCTTTAAGTTAAGTATTTTATATACATAAGTTTTATTATTTTAGATTTAAAAGTACACCTCGCCAAGGAGATGGTATTAGTTCAACAGACAAGGAAGCTTGGTATTATAATATGCGTCATAAGAATCGTGGAAAGGCTATAATCTTTAATCATGAAAACTTTGAAATCAGAGATCTTAAATCTAGAGCTGGTACTGGATTGGATTGTTTTAATTTGGAATCGTCTTTGAAGAAACTTGGTTTTGATGTTACTCCTTATGTGGATTTAACATTGGATCAATTAGATAAAAAACTTGATCACTGTACGTACTTTGTATAATATGTATACTTATATTAATAGCTTATTTTGATATTTTCAAATAAAGAAATATGAATTTTTGTATATTATCAAAATACAATAATATAATAATAATTTTTTTATATTTAATATATATATATTGTTATTTTTACAAATAATTGATTACAAAATAATAATTTTTTTTAATATATTTTATTATTAGGGGCTAAAGAAGACTACTCTCAATATGATTGTTTTTTGATGGCAGTATTGTCTCATGGTGAACAAGGTATTATTTATGCTAAAGATGGAGCTTATAAACCAGAAGACAAACTTTGGGGACGATTTACCGGTGATAAGTGTGTAACATTAGCTGGTAAACCAAAGTTATTTTTCATTCAGGCTTGCCAAGGAGACAGACTTGATGGAGGAGTAAGTTTGAGGACTCAAGTAGATGGCAGTTCTTCATTCAAGATACCAATTTATGCTGATTTTCTTATCGCTTACTCTACAATTCCTGGTAATAACTTATATAATATATATATATATGTGTATAATATTTTTAAATAATAATAATAATAATTATAATATATAGATATATATTTTTGGAATAATACGCAATTTATATTTAAAAATACTAATTTTTGATAAAAAAATGTTTACTTTTTTCAATATTATAAAAATAATTTGAAAATATTTGATTTAATTTTGTATGTTGTTTGAAAGCGCAATTAATTAGCTTAAAAAAAAATATATATATATATATATGTTAAAATGTTGAAGAGTTATGAAGATAGATAAAAAAATGTGTGGTTGGTTTGGTTAAGCTAAAAAAATAATTAAATTTACCATAACTTAAAAAATAAACAAGTTAGACTCTTCTTTTAATGGTATTTCTTCATCATTTTTGGTGTTCTTTCATATGACGTATGATCAGATCACTTCTACCCAGGATACCCTGTATATTTGTAACTTATAAAATCATACATTTTTTTAAAATTTAAAACATTTATAGTGTACTTTAAAATTATAACTATGAGTTACATTGCATAATTTTATTTATAATTAACATTTTTAATTAATTAGTTTTTCAAAGATGCATATTTTAAAGATGTAGTGTACATTATTTGTTATATGGTTATGTTTTTAGTTTATAAAAATGTTATTTATCAGTATTGTTTAATTTGATTATTTTTATAAAATTTGTTTTAAATTTTATATACTTTAACTAAAATATATCGATTGCTTTTATGGTAGGCATGGGAAGTGAAATATTATTAACTCACATTTTGATAAAATTATTATAAAAGATGTTCATTATTTTTAGTAACAGAAGATAAATTAATATGATCAAATGATTTATCCAAAATATTAGAATAATAACTAAAATTATTTAAATTTTTTATTTAGAAAATATTATACATCTTAAATAATTGTTTATCGCTGTTCAGATGTTATTAAATTATATGATGTATGCATACAATGTCATTATTATTATATGTAATAATAATATATATTTTTATCACGAGCAGTACCGGATTACCTATTAGGCGGAGTAGGCGCTCACCTTAGAGCTTCACTCATTTAAGGAGCTCTGTGTTTAATGGATAACTATATTTATTTAATTTAATAATAAATGTATTTTATTTACGAATTTACGAGACAAAAGTCATTATGAAATATCATATATATATATATTAAGTTGTAGGTGTTATAGGCTTATAATAATAATACAATAATTTTGAAAAAAAATAGAAATAATATAATAATTTATTGATTTTTCTTGCAAATAAAAAAATTCAATAAACACGATTTTGTTTATAAATAATAGTTGATTATTATTAAAGCTATTTATTTTAATTATTGGATAGTAATGTTAAAAATGTATGTAAAAAATTATTTTGTAGGGCCCAACATTTTAATTGTCTAGGGGCCCACAAATATTTAATTCAGCACTGATCACAAGGTAGGAACATTATGACTACATACGACATGATTATATCAACCATCTGCATCTAGTATTTATGTTTTGGTTTTAAGTTTACTACGAATATAAATTATACATTTTTATTTAATAGGAATATAGTTATAATGAAATATTAAATATTAAATGTGAAGTTAATCAGTTTCTTATCAAATATATAAAAAAAAATGTCAACTCTAAAAATTATTTATTATTATTTCATAAGCTTTTACCTGTCTAAATTATCTTAACAGTAATAAATGCATATCGCTTGACTTGTAAATAAACTATTTTTAGTTTATTTTTGTAAGGAATTAGATAATATTAATAATTTTTTTTTTTTAAATTTAATTATGCATGTTTTTATTTTAGGTTTTTATTCATGGCGTAATACTCAAAAAGGCTCTTGGTTTATGCAAGCTCTATGTGAAGCTTTTGATAAATATGGTTTTACACTAGATCTCTTAACTTTATTGACTTTTGTAAATCGTAAGGTAGCAATCGAATATGAATCTAATGTTCCTACAAATATTTATATGCACCAACAGAAACAAATTCCTTGCATTACATCCATGTTAACTAGATTGGTGAAATTTGAAAAAAATGATTAATTTATGAGGTATGAATATAAAATACATTCCACATAATTTTTAAATTCATTTTTGATATACTTGCTTTGAAATATATATATTTGTCTACAATATAAAAATAAAGTCAATAATGTCAATTTAGTAAACTTATGTTAAAATATGTATACAATGAACTTATATATTACTTACAGAATCTAATTTATACTTGTTGAACGGAAGATCTGTTTTTTTATTAAATATTTGATCCTAATATTTTCTTATATTAGTTTGGTAGTACATAATTCTAATAATATTTTTAAATAACTTTTTACTTATTTTTCTTCTATTCAGAAAAATGTCCTAACAGAACAATTGACTGATCAAAAAGGTTTTTTGGTTTTTTTTTTTTTATTTTCGTTTGGATTTGAAATGTATTAATTTTTTATTCAAAACACTTTTTCTAATACAAACATTTATAGTATAATTTTCCATTTTAATAACAATAATATGTACTTTTTCTATTTTTGAATCTATCTACCTCTTTACCATTATCTGTATTCATTTTACTTTCATATATATTTTTCTGAATAATTAAAGAATCTGTTTTTATTAAGAATATTGTACTTATTAAAAATTAAGCTTAAAATAATTGTACAAACATTTAATTCTATAGTTTTAAATTAAAAAGTGATAAACAAGTTGCTCATACCAGAGTCTTTCAAGTGTAGTACAATGAAATCATAAAACATGTGGTTATTTCAGTAGTACTTAACATTACTTAAGATTCTTTATTTTTTTTAAATTTTGTTGAATTTGATGTACATTTATATTTTAAATTTCTCAGAATCTCATATAAAGTGTTAACATTCTATAAGTACAACAAAACATAGACTATTTAAAATTATAATAATGGATTTTTTTGTGTTTAATTTTGAATTAATTTTGTTCTAACCAATAAATTATTTGACAATGTAGTCATTAGTAAGATGTATGTTTTTTTATTAATATTATTATTATATCCTATCTTTTACCAAATTTTTTTATATTGTTTTTTTATTATTTTAACATGTATATTTTTGAAAATTTCATACAGTATAATCTGTATTAAAATGAATTATTATTTACTATTTTAAAGTATCAAAATATAATTTATTTTTTTTTTTTTATAATTTCATTTTAATAATTCATTGATTTTAGTTTCTAAGTTATTTTATTTATTTTCATTAAATATACTTGTATTGTAAGAAACATGTATTTTAGTATTTTAATAATCATTTATGTACTTAGAATTAGTGCATTTATATTTTGTAATACTTTTTTAAATATATTTATACCAATTTTATTTTACTTGTACACTTTTTTAAACCTGTGATCCATTATATAGCATGTCAAAACATTGGTATTCACTTGTATATAAATAATAAGCCATATATTACTCAACATAAATACATAAAAATAAAATAATAGTTCAAAATTAACATATTACATACAGATACATTTTTTTACTCCCAACACATCAAATATTGACCAATTGATATTTGTCATGTTGCAATTGATGAACCACCTAATAAACGCTCTCTGATTTTATTCAAAATTGTGAACACACAAATAAAGACATGGAAATGAAAATTTCCCAATCGTTAGAGATCTATTCTTTACATCATATTTAATTTATTAGAGGTTGCATTTCCTTCGCTATATTTTCCCCCGCCAGTTTGAATAGTTCCGAATTTATGTTATCTTCTGGGGCTTTTTGATTTTTTAGTTTTTTAATTAAATTTTCGATTTCTTCCAAGACTAGTTTGACCGTTTAAAATATCACCTCTTTGTATCTAGTCCCGGTGTCTTTATTTGTCTCACTTACATTTCGTAGGGTAGCAGAGTATTTCTTAAAATGTACTATTTCTTCCGGTTCTAATAGTAGATGATTCTGGTCGTTTTTTAGAAAGAGTGTTGGTTGTTTGAAACCTTGTTTAAGGTACTTACGAGTACAGTGCTTGAAACATTTTCTTGGGTTCTTTCAATCTTCCTCAAGTTTTTCTAATGTGTTCTTTTCAGCTTGTCTTTTTTCTCTTCTAAATGTCTTATTTACTACTTCTTTATAATATTTAAATTTTGCTTGATTTTCTTTCGATGGATTATGCATCTTAATTACGTTTTTTACCGCTTCCATAAATCCATTATTGAACCAATCATTCTTGTTATTGGGTGTGGGTTCTCATTTAAGATTTGCGGCAGTGTTTATAACGTTTTTTGATATTTTTCCATTAGGATTCGTAATTATCTTCTTCATATCTACTCTTTCATTTACATTTCGGAGTTCTTCAGCTATTCTTGTTCTATATTGTCTGATTTCTACTGGATCTTCATGCCTATCTAAGTCTATTAGGTATGTTTGTTTTATTCTTCTAACTTACCGATAGTTTTTCGGTTTGAGTTACTTCTACCAAGTAATGGATCGTACCACCATCTGCCCCTCGATAACTCCGAACGTACTTAAATCATGAGCAATGTAATTTATCAATACTACGTAGTCGATTTGGTTTTCTATTTTCACATCTGGGGACACTCATGTCTGTTTGTAGATATCCTTTCTTTGAAAATAGGTACTGCTGATGATATCACGGGACATCACAAAGTTCATAAAGCGTGTTCCATTATAATTCGATACATTGTGAAGGCTTTCCTAGCCAATTGTGGATTAAATATATTTTCCCGTCCTATCTTAGCGTTTACGTCTTCCATTAAATTGGATATTAGCTAAAATAATGTCAAAACATTTTTTTTGCTAATATTATCCCATTCCCCTTTTATACAAATTACATGTGAATGATCTAATAACAAAGAAAATTGTTTTAAACTTTTTAAATTGTTATAATATAAATCTTTATTGCGTAAAAATTACATGTTCTCTTCCGAATCGTTAAATCTTTAGAAATATTTTTCGCCTAGCTTGTTCAACAATATCTAAAAATTAATAAAACCGGTAAAGAAAGTACTGTAACTATTGCTTTATATTTTATAGAACTGAACAATTTTAGAATATAATAGCCTGGATACCGGTATCAGATTTTAAATCGCAATACCTCGTGTTCCACGGTTCGCCGTTAAACCGGTTGTTTGTGCTCCATTACGTTTCCGCGCACCGCCATTGGGTGATTGGTTCGGTTGATAACAGGAAGCCAATGACGGTTTGTGAAAAAGTACACGTGGCACATTTCATGCATTCGGGCGACGGTAACTGTGATTCCGTACGCCGCTTCCCACCATCGATGACAAATCGAAAAATAGTCGACGGTGTACACAGCAAGCGCGACCAATCGCAACGTTTCTAGCTATCGCCAAAAGGATCAAACGTGTTCCGGCCGGTCGTTACGTACGCGCGAGTATGATTGCACACGTGTACACGACGGCAACAAGTTCAATTTCATTAAAAATTACGACGTCAACGGGTAAACTCCTTCAACAGTTCGTTGTCCCCCGACACGATCGTCTGCATCGATATCTTTAATGTGTCCGATTCAACCACGTCAGTAGAACAGAAGTGTTAATAATTTCTTAACGTCCTAAGCGCGTAATTGACAAACAACTAGGTAGTTAACTCTATCATAGGGATTAGACCAATGGTAAATATTAGCGTAATTGGTTTTTTTTTCAGTTTGCACAATAATAATTTGTTCGTTCTTGTTTCACTATGGAAAACAAAGGAAACACCGATATCCAGTGAGTAAACCCATCGAGTTTCTTTAATATAAAATATATACTTGTAATGATTATATACTGTAAGTTATTGGTTTTTTGAGTTGACTGTACCTAATCCTGTTTTAATTGATGAAAATATTACCTATTAATTTAATTATTATATGTTATTATATGGAATTAATTAAGTTATGCTTGTGATTGTATAAAACTATTTTGATAACAAAACTAATATGCTAAATTTAACTAAATATAGTGAACAAAATACAAAAAAAAAAGAGTTAAACAATATTAATAATACTTTTATGTTGAAGCACAGAAATTAAACATCTTACTGGCTTATTTTTAAATAACTTTATAATAATAGTATTGTTTTTATAATTATTATCATCATAAATTAAATTAAAATTATTCAAGAATATTTCTTCTTCCTCGCCTTTTACATAACTATTTGGGGGTCGGCCACCATTGTCCTAAACTTCAAGAATATTTATAAGTAAAAATTCAATTATTTTATTGTTTGATGATTTAACATTAAAATAAAAATTACATTTTTATTACTAGCTGTATATATATATATATATATATAATTTATAATTTAATAATAATATACATATTATAATAATAATACCTACATACTATAATTATAACATAAAAATCTATTTAAATATAAGGTATTTTTTTGCTTCTCTTTTAAAAGTTTTAATATTTATTGATAATGTTACAGATTTTTAAGTATACTTCATCAAGAAAGTATCTTAAAGTCAATTGATAAAGATGCTTGGTATTATAATATGAATCATAAGAATCGTGGAAAAGCTATAATCTTTAATCATGAAAAATTTGAAATAGGAAATTTTCAATCTAGAGCTGGTAGTAGATTGGATTGTTTTAATTTAGAATCATCCTTGCAGAAACTTGGCTTTGATGTTACTCCTTATGTGGATTTAACATTGGACCAATTAGATAAAACTCTTGATTACTGTATGTTTACTTGTATTAGTTGCTTATTTTGATATTTTTAAAAAAAGAAATGTAAATTATTAATACATAATAATAAAATAATTATTATTTTATATTTAATACATATTGTTATTTTTAATGATAAGTAATAACACATTAAGAATTTTTTTATTTTATTATTAGGGGCTAAAGAAGACCACTCTCAATATGATTGTTTGTTGATGGTAATATTGTCTCATGGTGATAAAGGTATTATTTATGCTAAAGATGGAGTTTATAAACCAGAAGATAAACTTTGGGAACGATTCACTGATGATAAGTGTCCAACATTAGTTGGTAAACCAAAGTTATTTTTTATTCAGGCTTGCCAAGGGGACCGATTTGATAGAGGAGTAACTTTAAGAACTCAGGTAGACGGCAGTTCTTCATTCATGATACCAATGAATGTTGATTTTCTTGTTGTTTTTGGTTCAGTTCCTGGTAATTTCTTACATAATTATATACCTTGTTATTTAATATTATTATATTATTGTTATATATATATTTAACTTTTAAAAGCATACATTTTGAAAATTTAAAACATTAATAGAAAACTAATAATTATTGAATATAATGTTTGATTAGAATTTTTTGTTCAAAATTGGGTATTTTTAAGTTATGGTAAACCATAAATTCACGATTCCTTTTAGGATTATGTTTTTGGCTTAATAAAATCAAATTGCCTATTATGTCTTATCACTTATTATATGTTGAATTCAATCATTTTTAAATTTTATCGAAAATTAGAAGATTGATTTTTTTTTTTTTATGAAATTAATAATTATTTAAATATTCATATTACTAACTAGATTTTCAAATAAAATTAATATAAATATATCAAAAATAGCAATTAAGCATAATTCTTAACATTTTTCTTTTAGAATAAAATGTATGTCCATACATACAATACAAATATGAAATAGGTTCAAAATGTAAAAAATAATAAGCCAATTTCGTGTGATACATACATAATCTAAAATGAGAAAAATGATTTATTATTATTTTATAAAATTTTACCGTTTTTAAATAACCTAAACGATCATAAATACATGTAAATAAATTCTTCTTTTTTAGATACTAAGTTAATGCTAATGTCACATGTCTTACATTAATTTTGTTTGTTTTTATTTTAGGTTTTTATTCATGGCGTAATGTTCTTAAAGGATCTTGGCTTATACAAGCTCTTTGTAATGCTTTTGATAAATATGGCTTTACACTAGATCTATTAACTTTATTAACTTATGTAAATCGTCAGGTGGCTATTGAATTTGAATCTAGTGTTCCTAATGATGTTTCTAAAAACAAAATGAAAGAAACTATTTTTATTATTTCTAAGTTGACTAAATTGGTGAAATTTGAAAAAAAATAATAATTTAATAAGTTAAATTATATTACATAATTTTTTTTAAATATAATTTTTGACATTTTATAGACTATAGACTTTCTTGTTTTTTCATATTATACTTTAAAGTTTCATATTATTTTATATACCTGTGGGCTGTGTATTTAATGTTTAAAACAATATAATATATATTCAAATTACTACTATTTTTATTAAGTGCATTGTACCACAGATTAAATATACATAACTATATTTAATCTATGATTATATTAATTAATCATCAAATTTGATTCATTTAATATTTAGACCAATATAAATATATTACAGTTATAATTTGGAACTAAAAAAAATCTATAATTATTCGTTTAAAAAGTACTATACAACTTACTCATACCAGAGTCTTTTAATTGAATAATTTTAAAATAAAATCTACAGACATATCATTATTAGAACACTTCAAGAAATGTTAATTTTTTTAAATTTTTTTAAGTATGAATAGTTTATTTTTGTGCATTTAGTGTCTTAGAATTACATTATAACTTATAATTATTAATTAATTATTATTATTTATTTTAATAGTTTAGTATTATTTAATTTATTAATAGTATCAAGATATGTTAAAAAAAAACCAACAAAAAAATCGTAGTTACTACGAATTTATCTACTTTTTATCACCGATAATTAAGGAATGGGTTTATAAGTAATAAAAATACAAAAATATGTACATTAATATAGAAGTCATTTATAATATATGTGCTAAAAATATCCAAACACCTAAAAATTTCAGTTTCACTACAAGTAAGTACAATAAATTAATTAAAAAAATACTTAAAAATATAATTTGAAAAAATATCAAATTATGTATCTCATTGAAAAATTACAATTTTTTTTAAAAATTATAGAATGCTAAATGTCGCCTAATAGGTTGAAACATTTTTAAAACAACTAAAACGATCATTCTTCAACAAACAATGTAATTGGAACATATTCTGTATGCTTTGTAATATCTGTAATATCTGAAGGTGATAACTCCAAAATTTTAGAAGGGTGTCTGCCAATCATTATATCATTGATTGTCTAAAAATCAATATAGCTTGGATTTTTTTCAATAATGGTATGAGTTTTTTTTTTACAACGCATCCTACCTGCCCACTTACGAGTTTTAATTTTCTTACCACTGATTCGAAAATTTGCATACTATCATTTATAGACACATTTTTTGTTTCTAATGTTGCAATCGCATGCGCTATTAAACTAAAATTCACTGAGATGACAAGTAATTAATTTTTTAATGTTTCATTTTGACTTTTCCGACGTATACCTACAGAAGTCAGAACAGGTCCAAAGCGTATTCCGAAAATTTGTTTTAAAACAATAGATAAAAACAATTGCAATCGATCGATAGCCGGAGGATAACATTTGTGGCACAGTCGCGCACGATAAATCAACGTAATACCAAGTTGTGGTTTTCAATAGACTTTCGACGTTTCGAGGTTTACATTATTTCACTCTGTCATTGCGTCCCACGTGTTTGGTTATTAAAATTAATTGGCTTGAAAACCGTCGTCCCGCGAAACAACGATAGTGACGAGTAAACATTGAAAATCCCTATGAATACCGTCGAAAGTTTTTTGAACGTCTTATTCGACATACCGCGTTGACGTTGAACGTTTGTTTACTTAATAATTTTCATATTGTTTCGCATCCGAACGTAAAAAAATGGACACGTTTTCTCTCGAATACTTATCCCTAGACAGATATTCAAACTGGAAGAGCCGACGGACTGCCGTCAACACGTTTTTCGAGTGAGATTCGGAAGAAACGTGCTGACGGCCGAAGCGGCGACTAAGGATCGGTGGTTCAGAAAGTGCGCCACGTGCAAGTGCAGATGCGTGTACTCGCGCATGGTGCGGTGCTTCGGTACGTTCAGACACGTGTTCATCAATACACATTTGTAGTTAGCTCGTCGCGCGTTGGTAGTTAACTTAACTACCACGCCCTGAATGCATTGTAACTGATTTCCCGTGTTCTCGATACAGAATGTCAATGGTACGTGTACAAGGGTTGTGCGATTCGGACGGCGGCACGCGGAAAGGACCGGCTGCTCTCGACCAACCGCGATCCTGCCATTCGTTCCGTCCAGGCTTTTACTGAAAACACGGAACCGGCCACGGTTGTCAACACAGCGGTCACGCGGAGTTCGGCTACCGACGTTGACGATAGAGATTTGGCCACGGCCATTCCTGCTGACGACGGGGTAGTCGACGCGGCGGCCGCGCAGTGTTCGGTAGTCGAAGTGGACGCGACCACGGACGTGAACGATGAAAATTTGGTCATCGTGATTCTTTCCGTCGACGAAGCGGTACCTGTCATACCGATCGCTATAGTCGACGACGACATCTTCTGGACGCAGGCCTCGGTAACGACCGACTACGACGACGTTAAGCAACCCGAAGTCACCGCCGTCGCCCCGTCCGAAATTGAAATAGGTACGTTGGACGTTCATCTCAACAACGTATGGATATAAATCATTGATTAATTTTAGATCCGTAGATCCAACCAATTGTTTTCTCTGATACTTTATTTCGGACTGAAATATAACACGTCACGTGACGGTTAACCACTAATATTTTCGTATTCGTTACGACCGTCGCTTGTGGTAAAAAAATACTTAAAAGTACAGCTGATCTATTTTTTCCAGGTTTCGGAAGAGACCGATGAGCAATGGACGCGCGATTCGCTGAATTCACGGAGATTGACCAGATATTTGTAGCCAACAGAGGTACGCTAATCGGTCATGTATTATATCTAGTATAGTTTATGAACGTCCGGAATGCGTTTGGATTAGTAAATAAAAACTTTTTACGCATGAAAGTGAAATGTATACGTGCCGTGTATAAACATTGGATTCAAAGCTGTTTTATAAGAATACATTTTGTTCATTTTTTAAAGTTAATTAGCAATTGGCTACCTCTTGAATGTGTAAATTTTAGGAATTCGTATATCGACCATTATATTTGCTAATGAAATGCCAGTCCCAAGATGCTATTTCGTATCTATTGTTAAGTTTGTTTATTGTACTAACAAATAAAATAGATAATATTAGTAGCGGAAACACTTTGTGTGAAACGCACAAACAACGAATTATCCTTGATAGCTTAAATGATTCATTTGACAACTAAACACTGATTAAAAAGTTATTAGATTCGGAGAGAGATGAAGAAATTGAACTTGCACCAGAAGATGAAAAAAGTTCAAATTATGCACTGGGAAATTTAAACAATCCATTTCAAAAATAGGCTGGAGAAGTTTATGATAAAAACGAATCATTTTTAGAAATAGGAAATAATATGAATCCATTTAATTTATTTAAAATAGTTCCATGTATAATAAAATATATGAACTTAGTGCCTCATTGGTCGGATATAATGATACCGATTTTCGGTTGTGGAAATTAAGCTGACATTTCTGCAATTATTAAACCAAATTTAAACAAATTGAAAAATGTAACATTTAAAAGTATTTTGTTGTCTATAGATATCGAGTTATTCTCAGAAAATCACATGTCTTCATTTCGTCATTTGTCATTATTAAAATCAAACCATATTATTGTAGAAGATCTATTAACAAATAATAAGAACGAAAATTAAAAAAATCATGTAGATAATGTGCAGATTATTCATGTACAGAAGGATGAAAATATTTCACCATTATTAAATTATATAAGTTATTTCGATAAGGACGATACAGCAAAACATCCGTCTAGTTATTCCACTGCGGACCGCAGTACAATACAAAATATCAAAACAAAATGTGCAGGAGGAAAATTTTTAATCGATAATTCTAAAAAAAATACTCCCTGTGATAATTCGGGTCTTTATGTTCAGTTACAATATCAGAAAAAAGTGAAACAAATGTTTCATGTTCTCGTGATATAGAGACTATGGCAGAAGAAACGGTTTTGACTGAAAATTGGAATAAGCCAACCAATAAGATGAGAATCCGGTCTAACCCAAACCTAAACGTTCATCAAAAAAAATTACAAAATATGAAAAAAAATAAGACTTTACCAATTTTAAAAAATGGTTCTCTACGTTCTCCTTCTGGAGAATTAAAAAGTTGTATGGTTAGGAACTTTGGACAAGTTATTCTGTGTAACACGTGTGTATTCGACTCTGTTTCATCAATATTAATGGTAGTATATTGCGATAGCGTTAATTACAACACTGCGATTGGTGGTAAAGAATTTTCTTAAAGTTCATTACTGGAATAGTTAAAAAAGGAATTTCGGCCAAAGCGTATTCGATCCGAGCAGAAATTCTGGTAACTATAATACATGCCTAATATTGGTACTAATTATAAATATAGGTATAAAGTACCTTTTTATCTGAAGAGAATCCGATCCAAGCAATTAAAAATATAAGTAATATTACATTTTCCAAAAAATAATTTACAAAAAATTTAAATTAAACTCTTTTTCAAAATTATTGTGATAACGTGTATTACTATAATTTCTATAATCAGAAGAATAATGTATGAGAAATATGATTTTATAACATGTACATAATATACAGTTAGTGTTAATAAATATGATTATAATACGTGTAATTGTTAGATGAAAAAAGTTATAATTTTTGATGTAATATTGTTTAGTATCAATTCTATTGTGATTTCGAAAATCACGTTGTAGAAAAATAATTTATGATATTATACATCAACTAATTAAACTTATATTTTTGTTAACAGATGAAGTATTTACAACCTAATATAGAGTATGTAGATTATGATACGAAATTGACATCATGCGAGACTACGGTGGGAAATGTTATTAAAGCATTATTAAAACAATTACCGACAATAACGGATAATATCAAATGCTCAATTCCCACGTGTACGAAGAATAATCCTTTGTTTTCGTCGTACATAAAAATACTTGTAATGAATGGAAATTTAAATTTGTTGGAAGAAGATATTAAAGCAAGATTAATGATCGAAACTTCAAAGTGTCAAAACACAAATCGAAAAGGAGTCAATTGCAAAGGAATAAAAACAATTGAACCAAGAATTTCAGCGATACATTTATTTATTGAGCTACTCAATTGGAAAGGTATTTTACAATCACTGAAGCATTTTTATATCATATAGTTATTTATAAAAACACTATTGATTATGATTTCAGAAAATGTAACAGACCAAAGTGTCGATTCTGAAGTGACCCAACAAGTTGTAATAAGTTTGGAATATGTTCCTTCGATGGTAAAAGTGAATAATGTCGATTACCATCTAAGAGGAATATGTTCTCACGCGCATGAACTAACGGAGAAATAAACGATGTAGGTCATTACCGAGCTTACTGCAAAAGAAATGGTGAAAATCACTGGGAACTTTACGACGACTAACGGACTAAGTCCGTCTTAGTAAATTCCATAACTAAAGTTCCATGTGAATTATTAATATATTCAGTATAAATAAACTGAATAATTTATAAAATATTTTGATGTTCATAAATAAATAATTTATAACTCAAATGTATTCTCTTTTCAAGATACTAAATGATAGGTATAACTGTTCATTTTAATTTTTTTTATTTTATTTTACATAAAAAGTATATACAATTATCATTTTTATTTAATGGACAAATGTATTATTTTTTTCTAAAAACTACAAATATAATTCAATTTTAAACTGTCAAAGTTTATTTAGAAATTGTCATAGCCACGAAAATATTGTAATTGTTATGGGCTATCACATATTCCTAGAAACATGTATAAATAGAATTGTGCGTAACACAAAATCACAGGTATTACACACCTATATTTGATATAAACCTATATTTGATATATTTGATATAAACCAGTAATATATATTAAAATATGTAATCTATGTTCCTAGAAACACCTACATTTAATTAATTGGACATAAACCAGTGATATACATTAAAATATGTAATCTACAGATTAATGAAGTAGGTCAAATGAACAGTGGCCTATTGCTAAATAAGGAATAAATGCCGAAACAACAAGCCCTATGACGTCAATCGAGCCATATAAAAGAGGGACCAAAATGACCACAATGCAGATGAGTTCTAGTCACGGAACAACAAGCAACTTCACGTCACTCTGTATCAGAATTTTTGTTAACACTTTGAGTTATAAAATAAATGTATTAAACGTATTAAAGTTTCATGTTTATTTAAATTAAATACATCTTCGACTTGCAACACTTGAAATCGAACCGGTGGCACGTAACATAATAAACAATTCCAATACTTAATTGACAATATTGACCGCATGGTTTTAAATGGTTATAATATTTTTTAATTATATTTTTTAAACATTTATTAAGTCCGGCAATATTTTTGAATTATTTTATGATATTAAAATTATTAAAAAAAAAAAAAATTTGAAAAGAATTTATAATCGATATACCTACTTAATTATATTATGTTGTTATTGTGTTCTGATAATATAAATAACATACATTTTAAATTGACTTCAAAATCATAAAATTATAAATTATTTAATATTTTCTTAATACTGTAATTGTGTAACGCACAATTTATAAAAAAACGATGTAAGAAACCACTACTTACTTTATCAATACATTGGTAACAAATCTTAAACGTAAACTACTTATATTTTAAAATATTAAATAAAAACAATGGTGTAATTATCAGGGAATGGATTTATATGTAATAAAAACACAAAAATATGTAGGTATATAAATATGAAATATAATTTATAAAATATGTGCTGTAAACATCAAAATATGTTGAGAAAAACATTTCAAATACTTAAAAATATAATCTGAAAAAAATATCAAACAATGTAATCATTGAATAATTATAATTTTTTTTACACTAATTTTGATTGGTCTGCATGTGTAAATATATTATATCCAACAATGTCTATATTCATCTTTTGATGTTTACCACCATTAGTTGGGAAACAAAATTTTGTCGGTAACAATATTTGGACACAAAATTACGAAAAACATTTACGAAACTAAATGCAACAAATGCATGCAAAAATATTTCCTTAGTGTGAACACAGCTTAAGTATCTCAACATAAAACCGCAATTAAACAAAATTTTTTTTTCAGTTACGTACAGAGGCTAAAATTTATACTTTTTCGAACTTCACACATAAGGATTTTGCCATATTCCCCTTTCAAACGTTAACAGTAACACAGTTAAAATAATTGGTATTTTAGATTTTTCTGATGATAAATCTTGGAATTTTAAAACCAAGTAAAATAATTTAATAAAAAAATGTAAAATTAAAAAGAAATACCATAATATAGAGCAGGGGTGAGCAATTGGCGGCCCGCGAACCTTTTTTATCTGGCCCATGGTATATTTTAATATTAAATCATACAATTTTAAAGTTTATCTTCTATACTCTAACTTATCGATAAAATAATTATCTGATTATCGATAAAATAGTTATCTGGTATTAAACATCATTATATATTTATGTCATATGTATGTATACGTATAGCTTTCAACCATAGCTGTTTGTACCGAACTAACTATAACAGTTTTTTCATATTGTGTTGAATTTATTATTTCTGTGTATATAAATGCTAATTAAAATTCATATTTTGAATGCCCTTTTTTTTATTTT